TCCATTCATGAAAGCCTCATCCTCAACCAGCTTTGCGCGTATAACACCTTCTGGAACACTGGGCCGACTTTTTTCGGCAATGGCGGTGCTCGCAGAAGAATTGACTATTGGATCGGCCCGATCGACGCGTTCCCCATTATCACGAAGCTCAAATTATGCTGGCGCTCTCATCAACGCTTGCGCGTCCTTCCCCACATGCTCGATCACATCCCAATGCTCATTCATGTCCAACTTACCTGCCCAACGTCATCTTCTACAGACCACGCACCACGATGGGACTGGGCCCTACTAGCAGCAGGACTACAGACGGGATATCGACGCGCTGAATTTCTACGCGACCTTTACCAGCAGCTCACTCAACATGCACATACTCTCCGAGTTCTCCAACATGACCAGCTTCCCGACCGACACGCAGCATACGTTGCATATTTGGTCCAGCAAGCAGCGATCCCGCACTACTCCCGTCATGGGGGCCATCCAGCTTGGCTCAAAGACGCCCAGCGTACACGACAAGAACTCCTTCGAGAACGTGCACAACTACGTGACAAAGGCATGGCGGTCGATGGCGCCCACCTCAAGCTCATCTCTCGCCGACTCCGTGAACATGCACAATGGAACCGGGCATGGTGGCATCACTTTCTCGACGAACAAATCACCGACGCCTACCGCCGCCGCGACCTTTTCACGAGTCGCCGAGTTCAGCAGACTTCGTGCAGGCGCTAATGCAGGCACCAAGAAACGTAACTATTTGGCATCCCCGAGTGTACGACCCGCATCAGATCACTACTGCGCCGCCCTCGGCAAGCCCGCCACCGACGGCGGCCTCGCGGCGACGCCCGCACACCTCAGCATTTATGTCTCAGGTGACGCCGCCGCCCAGGAGCTCCACTAGCGCCCCGAGAACGACATCCACATCGTCGGCGAGTACCGCGTGGATCCCACACTGGACTCTCTCCTCGCTGCGGCACAGGACCTCGACGCTATGGCCAAACGACTTTGGACGAACAAACATCGCAAATATTCTCCCGTCTGGTCATGGCCTACTGAACTTACTACTGTGATGCTATTCCCGACATATCTCAGCAGACCAGGACTTCCACGCAGTGGACTTGGATACGCTCCCACCGACTACCCCAACCACCACCAGCTCCGACATGGACTTGGACACGACACGACACACGACGACTTCACAACCCCACCACGACGCCCACGCCCGCGCCCCATGCACCGTGCTCGCCCTCTTACTTCAACACGTCCGCGACTCAGAAACTTTACCAGCCCAGTCCTACACCAGCCAGACCGTAGCCATCAGTAAGAAAGGCAAACATCCATGCGGAGATCCAGTCCACGACCTCGACAACTGCCTACGAATGCTGCACGTCTTTTGTCCTTTCTTGCGGCTCTATCTCCGAAGCGGATTGGTTGATTTTGGCAGCGCGTACACCCCACCACCATGGGCATATGGTGGCATCCGTGCTCGAAGACGAGAAGGCCTCATGACGCTCACGCGCATCGCGACCTTCAAGCTACGCAGTGCACACATCCCACACCACGTGAAGAGCTACGACATGCGCAACGCTTTCGGCACAGGCGACACTGACCAAGTACTGGCAGCACATCGTGTACGCACCGACGACCCCCACTTTGAGGACATGCTCACGCAACATCGACTCGGCGCCACCATGCGCATCGATGCCAGCGACGACATAATCGGGCTCCACCCATGTAGTGGAGGCCGCATGGGCGACAGCAACGAGCCCGAGCTCTTCATGGAATCCTTCTATCCACTAATCATCGACTGGGACGCAGAGCTCAGAACGCGCACAAGCAGGAGACATTAGTACGACTCGCCACCAGCAGCGCCACCAGGCAGGCCGAACGACAACTCAGCGGCACATGCATGACCATTCTTATCCACCTCGGCTCCTACATCCATGTCGACGGCTACGACGCCCGCGAGGTGGAGGAACGGATTCGAGCCTGTAACATGGGCTGGACACGGCTTACTCATGGTTGGACCTCAGCCACACCAAGACGCTGCAAACGCCTCGTCTTCCCCGCCAATGTCGCGAGCCCTGCATGGTCAGGCCTGGAAGCGCTTGTATTCACCCGTGCCGGGACGGCGCAGATCGATGCGAGCCTCGCAACCAAAAAAAAACTTCGGTGCATGCTCATGGGTGACGCACATTGCATTGACAGCGACGGCCAGCATCACTCCCTCACCACTCGCGAGCTGTTCACTGTCTGGGGCATTGCCCCCACGTCTCTTGAGCTATGCGTTCGCCGTTTGAAATGGTGGCAGAGCATCAGCAAAGAGGTTGAACATCACGAGCAATTTCTCTCAGGGTTCTTTGGACGATGCCAGATTGAAGATCGATATGCTTCGCAGGGCCTTCCCACCTCCGCCAATGCCCTCACTGAATCAGGTGCTCTCGACACGGGCCCTAAAGTGCACCCTTGGGCCCGCCAGCTCCGCGAGGACCTCCTCAGTGCCCTTGCGGCCCCCATCAGCGACGACCTCCGTGGCCTCTGGGACATTGACGACGACATTCGGAAGATTTTCAGGGGCCCCGAGATCCAGGGGGCATTCCAGCAGATCGATTTCAGCTACCTACGGCAGGCGTACGTCTCGCAGTCTTGGGCCCCGCCAGGTCATCACTACTTGCCACCCGAGACCCCTCTGGGAGACCCCGACAGCGACCCCAAGGATCCGAACCCGTTCGTCTGCAACATCGAGGGCTGCATCAAGGCCTTCCGCACGTTTTCCGCACTCATTGCACATCAAACAACAGCAGCACTCCCAGGACACGGAGCCCCCACTATTTTATCCACGATCACTCTCGACAACAAATGCTTGGTTTGTGATAATGTATATGGTTCTATTAAAGATTGCCAGACCCATCACCGACGGTCTTGGATCGAAGGGCGATGCTTCATCGATCGCACCTTACACACGCACACGCGGCAGCCTACCACTGCCACGCGATGCCCGCTCGAGCACATCAGCCCCAACATCGGTTTCCAGCGAGATAATTACGACATCGACGTGCTCCGATCCCACCTCCGCACGCACATCCCTCCGTCGCCGCGTGGCCCTTGGCTCAAGACATTGCCTCGCTCGGCGAGGGAGGCACGCCCGCGCGGACCGACAGTGCCTAAGCGATTCCTCGCCGCCCCATTGTGGCGACCATCCGACACCGCTCTGCTACGACAAGAGATCCGACAGACAGCGACGCTTTAGTTGGGCACACATATTCGAGCTTCAGCCACAGCATCGACTACATCACGAGCTCGACGGCCGCAACATCGACGACCACTACCTACGCACGACACCAGCAGTGCGACTACTACAGCCTTGACGTCCACGCCAACACTACCGCGACCTCCACGACCAGCAGGACCAGCCCGCAGCTCGACGCCAGCCCCACCTGATGGCCTCAGCAGCGGACATCAGCACGCCACCAGCAGCGGCGCCGAGCATAGCCCAGCCCAAAGCAGCACCGCGACGCGGAGCACGTGCCCCGTGGAGAGGCCCGCCACCGTCCTCGACCAAGTCTGGCACCTCTGGCAACGACTCCAAAGCCGACGAACCACCCCAGCGCCGACGCAAGGTCGAGGGGACCAAGGGCAACAAGGGCCAACCGACGCCAGCAGCGGATCAGGAGGACGACGACATGGACGTGGAAGAGCAACAGAACGAGTCGCGCCGTGCTCGACGCAGAGGTGGACGACGAGCCCATCGAGGACAGCACACCGACAAGCAGTGGACGAACAAAGACAAGAACATGCAGATGCTGCTCACCTCGCTGATGACACTCACACTCCAGAACACTCAGAACATACGGATGATCATGTGCACGGTGGCCGACACATGGACGCTACCAATCAACAGCCCGACAGTCTCCCACATCTCGACGGAGCTCGAGGGCTTCAAGACACGGGTCAACAACTACCGCGCCAACAAGGACACCGAGGCGCTCAAAATGCTAGGCCCACCGACCCCCGCACTCGCCCTTGCCATATTGGAGGGGCTATTGACATGCGAAGTGGGAGGTCGAGTTCGCAAAGAGATCGAAGAGTACCTCGAGAAATTCCAGCCAGAGGACCCTCAGCTCGAGCCACTGATCGACGTAGAGACCCTCCAGACCGAAGTCGCCTTCCTGCGCATCGACAAGACCCACGACCCGAACACCGCCAAGCTGATCCTTGGCGCCAAGGACTGGCAGGGCCGAGGCCTCTTGCTCGCTGGCCTACGCTCTGAAGGGATCGCGAAGCACCACCTGGGCCCAGCCCCAGCGGGCTGGCTGGAGGAGGAGATATCGATATGGCTGGATCACTTCCGACGAATGACAGGATGATACGATTTGTATCTGGCGGCACACTCCCTGCAGTGAGGCCCACAGTAGCTCCCGAGACGGACCTCACACATCAGACAGGCGACCTCCCTTCAGATAATGCAGATCCTGAGGTACAGACCCACGATCTAGCCGCTGATGAGGAGGCTGCTGAATTTTTATTCTCCTGATGTGCCTCAAGAGGTCCTTTCTAAGGCCCCCCTCGTCCAGAGCCGTATCTAGACTCCTATTCGCTCTCCCTCTTTCCTGCTATCCTCGAGGAGTGGGAGATGAGGAGCACCTCCCTCCCCCTCTTTCGTCACCCGCCATAGCAGGATTTTATTTTGGATGTTAGTTTGTCTGTGCGACTTCAGCTTTGGTCAGTGCGAGGCCTCCCCCCCAGGGCCGCCTTCAGGGTTTTCCAACGCACAGCGCATGCCAGCCCGCATCAAGCGTGCTGCACCGTTGTAGCGACAGGCCATGCACAGCAGGCAAGAGGCAGTTCGGCACTGCAGCGATGAGCAAGGAATGTATATAATCTTTATGCGGGTACGGCGGTACCAGTCAGGGCTTCGGTGTTGCTGGTGTGGTCGCACCCGCCACACGTGGACACTCCCACCTGTGAAACCAGTTTCATCCGTAACCGCTCCCATGTCGTCGTAAAAAAACACGTGTAACGCCCGCCTCTGGGCTATTCGCCCCTATCGTCGCCGCCGGTTCTCAGAAGGCGGCGGGGCTTCTCAGAAAGCCTACGCCGCTGGCCTTCTGAGGAGTGTTCGGTATTTTCGGGGAAGAAGGCTTCTGAGAAGGCCAGGGGACTCCCGAGCCTTCTGAGGGGGCCTTCTCCTTCTCACTTCCTCCCCTCGCTCGCTGCCAATCAGAGAAGGAAAAGGTACAGATATCGCCACCCTTCCCTTGCGTTTGCCGTTTTGGGCCTCCTGGGGAGCCCTCGTCGACACTGCTGGATTCGCCTTGAACTTCTGGTCAGAACGCACCCCGGGAGAGGTCCGGGAAGCAGCAGTTATCTGTACCTCTTCGCATCCCCAGACAGTGCCCAGACCTTGAGGCTCTGCCGCCCGGGTCTGCAGGGCTGAAGTCACGGGAGCCATGTCCGTGGACACCGAGCGCCAACGAGCAGACTGGCACACGTCTGACCGCACAGCGGGGCGAAGAGCGCTGAAGATTGACGGGGGGGACGCCCTGCGTCCGGGCAGTTGGCAGAGACTTTGAGGCGATGTGGGCGGCGACGACGCGAGAGCACGATTTCGTATATGGACCTCTCTGCATCCATGATGCAAACGTTCGTGCCAGTTTCCTCCTCTTCCTCCTCTTCCTCCTCCCTCCTCCCTCTCTCGGGGCAATGAAATAGCATATCCCCTACAGTTGCTGGTAAGAGTGAGGTGGTTGCGGCGGGAGGTGTGGGCAGTCAGCGAGGCTCGACATGAGATTCTGAGAAGCCTGCCGCAGGCGCCGATCTCTTGCACATTACGCCACAGACTGCCGCAGGCGCGGGTGGGTCCCGGGTGGGTCGCGGCGATGGTGGGTCGCGGATGGGTCGCGTCGCGAAGGGGTCGCAGGGCGGATCGTGGGGCGACGACGAGAAGGCCGAGAACAATCAGAACGGCAATCCGCACCGCGGAGCCCCTCTGCAGCCACGCACCGAGGGCCCGTGCAAGACCACTCGGCCCCCTCATTCTCGTGAGGACTTTTCGGGAGAGATCGCGGGTTCGAAAAGAATCCGCTCTCGGTCCGCGCATGTGCTTGGTTTTGCAGTTTCGGGTGGCCGCGAATGCAGGGAGGTCTCTGCCGACAGCTTCGGCTGCGAAACAGAGACGCTCCTCACCAGGGCAGTTGTTGAACATGTCATGCGTCAGTGCCGCACAGAAGAAGGAAGTCCCGGGTGGACCTGCTCTGCCCAGAGCAGCCCGACACCGTCACTTGGAGACAGAACCAGACCCAGGACCAGGAGGAGGAGGAGGAGGAAGAGGAGGAGGAGGAGAAGGAGGATCAGGGAGGAGAGGGGAGGGAGGAGGAGGAGGAGGAGGAGGAGGAGGAGGAGGAGGGAGGAGGAGGAGGAGGAGGAGGAGGAGGAGGAGGAGGATGAGGAGGAGGAGGAGGAGGAGGAGGAGGAGGAGGGAGGAGGAGGAGGAGGGAGGCGAGGGAGGGAGGGGAGGGAGGGAGGAGGAGGGAGGGAGGGAGGGAGGGAGGGAGGAGGGAGGGAGGGGAGGGAGGGAGGGAGGGAGGGGAGGGAGGAGGAGGAGGAGGAGGAGGAGGAGGAGGAGGAGGAGGAGGGGGAGGAGGGAGGAGGGAGGAGGGAGGAGGGAGGAGGGAGGAGGGAGGAGGAGGAGGGAGGAGGCGAGGAGGGAGGAGGGAGGAGGGAGGAGGGAGGAGGAGGAGGGAGGAGGAGGAGGGAGGAGGGAGGAGGGAGGAGGAGGAGGAGGAGGAGGAGGAGAGGAGGAGGAGGAGGAGGAGGAGGAGGAGGAGGAGAGGAGGAGGAGGAGGAGGAGGAGGAGGAGGAGGAGGAGGAGGAAGGAGGAGGAGGAGGAGGAGGAGGAGGAGGAGGAGGAGGAGGAGGAGGAGGAGGTAGGAGGAGGAGGAGGAGGAGGAGGAGGAGGAGGAGGAGGAGGAGGAGGAGGGAGGAGGAGGAGAGAGGAGGAGAGGAGGAGGAGAAGAGAGGAGGAGGAGGAGGAGGAGGAGGGGGAGGAGGAGGAGGACGAGGAGGAGGGGAAGGGAGGAGGAGGAGGAGGAGGAGGAGGAGGAGGAGGCGGATGAGGGAGGAGGAGGAGGAGGAGGAGGAGGAGAAGGAGGGGGAGGAGGGGGCGGAAAGAGAAGCCCTCTTCCGCGCCAGCCTCCCCTTCGGCGGCACACCACGAGGCCGCCAGCGGTTGCCGCGAAAGTCGCCGCCGCCGAAGCCGGCGGGCGTGGCCGCCCGCACCGCCGACGGCCTGAGGACCCAGCCCCCCCGCCACCTCTTGGGGTCGTGTAGGGGGCCACATGCGAACCCTACCCCTACCCCCCACGATTTTTGAGGGGGAGGGTGGGGTTCACTTCGCTCGGGAGCTCTCGAACAAAGTGAACCCCACCCTCCCCCTCAAAAATCGTGGGGGTAGGGGTAGGGTTCGCATGTGGCCCCCTATCGTGAGGGTTCACGAAAGGTGTCGAGGAAGGAGGGGCATGGACAGGGGGGGCGAGCACGCCCAGGCTGCGGCTGGCACGCGGGAGGCTAGGGACCTGGCCGCTGCGCCGCTGCAGCGGCAACACCACGGCAGCAGAAGAGAAGGAGCTTCGGTCCGCCTCTCGTCCCCCCCTCCTCTTATCAACGGGCACCGACCCCGAGGGACATCCCGTAAACACCAAATTGTTCGGAGGTCCGTGCGTTTCTGTTTGGACCGGCGCTGGGACCCGCTGGCGGCGCCTCAAGCGCCGCCCTTGGTGCGCTCTGCAGGCCAGGAAGGAGGGTCCAGCGCCGATCCGAAAAATCCGCGCGGACCTCAGGAAGTGTGAGTTTAGGCCATTTGTGACTCCTTTGTCTCTGCCCCTCTCACAGGCGATTCTTGTTGGAGTCTTGGCGCCACCTCTCAAACGCAGACGGCGCCAGAGGATGCCTGCCCGGCGGGCCGGATGGGTGTCCTGGCGGCCCGCTGACGCCAGTGGTGTATGAGGGCGCAGGGGCAGGTTTTTCGTCATTTTGGAAGTACGTAGGGCTAGATCTTTTTCTCGACAAATCGATGTTAGCCAGCGTGCACCACCTACTGTGTGTTTCTGGCAGTGTATATAGTTTAATATATGCGGTGCAACCCGTGTGGTACAATCTACATTGTGCAATTCACGCAACGGAATCAATGTGGTGCAAAAGCTGTTGTGCAATCTATGTTGTACAAACAGTTTTCTGCTCGCAGTGAATTGTCCACTCCCCTGCTCGCGCAATCGCCCCACCCACCCACCCCAAACTTAGTTTGCACAACACATGCGGCGGCGATTTGGATGAGTGCTTGGAGTTGGCTGGTGCATCTCTGCGTCCTTGCTAGCCCGCGCATGCTCGCGCGCGCAGCGGCCAGATGGTTTGGCGCTACCGACGCGGCTGCAGTGGCGCTGACCGTTGGGAGTTTCCCAGCGGGCACTTCAGTGCGAGTCGGCGACTTGGGCGGGCGCGGTATCATGGCAACGTCGGCAGCGGCACACGCGATGATGATGGTAGCGATGCTGGTGACGATGATGACAACGACGACGGCAAGGCCAGTAACGGTGCCGATGCTGATCACGTCGACGATGGTGACGGCGCCCTCGCGTCGTAATGCAAGTATGAGAGCGAGTTCAACATGCACGCGCGGCCGGCGCGCGAGAGTGGCCCGCATGGGTTCTTGGACACGGATCGTGCCCCTCACAGCACGCGTGCAAAGGCGTTTGAATGATTTCGACGTGCGGCGCGAGGGGCCCGCTGGGCCGAATTCTATGGAAAGCTTAAAAGACCGATGGTTTTCGTAAGATTTCGCGGGAGCGCGAACAAGCATTTTAGAAAAGTGATGTCGCAAAACCACGCAATGTTTACATGTTTTCGGGCGGCATGCGCGCGCGACGACACGGGCGTGCGCACTTCGTCCCACCGGATGAAAGGGGTTATTGCGACAGCGCGTGCGCAAGGCCGTTCGAGCGACTTCGACGCGCGCGAAAGGCCCGTTGGGTAACAAGTTATGAACACGATGAGAAACGAATGGTTTTCTTAAGAATTCGCAAAAGCCCGAGCGCAAGTTTGTCTTGAATGTTCCCGTTGTGAAACCAGGTGTTCTCTTTATGTTTTCGGGACAGTCGATCTTGAATCCTCACGACACTTATGGCTTTTGTAGGATTTCGGCATGCACACCCGACGACGCGCGGGTGTGCACTTCGTCCAATCTGTTGCGAGGGATTTTCGAAAACTGGTGATTATGATAAAGTGGGATTCGTTCATTCCGGTGGGGTGGTAAATTCTAATACTTTTGCAGAAAAGGAGAATCTGTCCGGTGCAACCTATCTGGTGCAATCTTCGCGGCCGACCCCCAGCAGTGCCAAGCAATGTGACGCCATGCAAAGTAATGCCGCGATTTCAGGAGCAGCGCAAAGCAATGCCGAGCAACGCAAAGCAACGCAACGCAAAGCAACGCCAAGCAATGCAAAGCAAGCAAAGCAATGCAAAGCAAATCGAAGCAATGCAAAGCAACGCCAAGAGCACTACACAGCGATGCCCAACAATGAAAAACAAAACCAAACAAGAAAACAATGCAACGCAAAGCAATGCAAGGCAACGCAAGGCAACGCAAGGCAAAGACATGCAGAGCAAAGCAACGTAAAGCCGTAGAAAGCAAAGAGAACAATGCAAATCAATGGAATGCAATCCGCAGCAACGCAATGCAATGCAAAGTAACGCAGACCCAGACGGCGACGGGGTGGCGACAAGGCGGCGACAGAGCGGCGACGGCGACCGCGTAGCTACCAGATCTACTAGCAGGCACAATTCCTTAGAAACGGAGAAGCCCTAAGTGCAAGCACTGTTTGGGGAATCCATACATTGATACATGTAGAGGGATGAGGGGAGAAAGAGAGAGAGAGAGAGAACAATACCCCAAAAACATGTTTTAGGAGTGCAGCTGCGTCCCTCGTTTTTCTCAGGCCCATCTGGGGCTCTTCAGAGCCTGCCTCGATCCCCCCTTCGCCCAACCTTTTTGAACCCGCTCATCAGGGACAGCAGCGCAACGTGAACACACGTACGACATGTGTTTTGCATGATTCTGCGAAGGTTGCTTCGCGGTGATCAACCAATCGCGTCATTCATCCCATTAGCCTACTCACCCCCATCCGCGCGTGTGCTCGACCAAGACTAGATGTTCGTCACTGTGAGCGTTCTACTGCCGGTGCACATTTTCTTCCGAGCTGTGCGGTACCGCGCCGGTCGACGTGCCCATTGGGCTCGTTGGAAGTATTCTTTGGGGGCGCAAGCTGCTTGAGTTAACACAAGTGCAGGGCGTGCTCGTCGAGTCGTCCAACGAGCCCCATAAGATAGCCTGAACGACTCAAGGAAGCACGCGTGACGGTGAGATCGCCAGAGCGATGTTTTAGTCGTGCGCGTGTGCTTTGTTATTCGTGTCCGCCAGGGTGGCAGAGATCGCCTCTCTCTTTAAGACTCCCCGCGTGGGGGAGACTGCAATCTGGTGGGTGCGCGTGCCGAGTGTCGGTGCCGAGTATCGGCGCCGAGTGTCGGTGCCGAGTGTCGGCGCCGAGTGCTGGTGCCGATCGTCGTTGACGCGCCGAGTCGGCGCCGATCGTCGTTGACGCGGTCGAAAGAGCTGCCCCCCCCCCCAGACACACACACACAATTTATCATTGCTCGTAGTTGTTTCAGTCTGTTGAGGCAGCTTCGAGGGTCATCAAGCAGCGTGCCCGCGCCTGGGGCATCAGGCCAGGAGCTGCGCCGTCGCGAAGGACCTGCTTCGGGTTCGACAGTCCGTCCAGCGTGTTTGCGATTTCCATGCCGAGCAGGTGACCCGGGGGCCCCTGCCCCTCCATCGGAGCTTAAGAGACGGGGTCAATGCAAACGGGGGATCAGCCAGGGCACTGGATCCTGCAGGATCTTGCGAAGACCCCTCTGGCTGACCCGGGTTAGCGAGCCGCTCGTGGCCGCGAGGCGGCCGCGCACATTGGCTGACCCGGGTTTGCAACGCCCTGCGTTGCAGTTTTTTTCCTGCATTGCAGTTTTTTGGTTTTCTGCTGACCCGGGTCTGATTGACTTAGCAGATCCTTAACCCCAGTCGCCAGTGTTCCTACCCCACCGCCCTCTTGTAGCCAGCCGGGCCCCAACCGCGGCGCCAGCTGTTGCGTCCGAAGCTGTGCTGGGTCACAGGTCCCGCGAGGCTTGCAGCACGTGAAGCATCTACGGGGACAGGCCGCTTCCTCGCGGAAGCAGTTCGGGGGCAACGATCGGGGGGGATAGGCATATGGGGGGGGATGCATCGACCCCCCATCGCCCATTGATCGCCAATGGGGGCCCGATAGCCCCGACCTGCCCAGGAAGGCGCGGGCTCACCATCGGGGGCCTGTCGGCGACGTATCGCCGATTCCAGGTTGATGCATCCGTCGCTTCGCAAGAGCAGTCGCGGATTCAGACCATGGTGGGTCGAAAGCCATCTACACTGGAACACTTGCGGGCCGCCGCCGCCAAAAAAGCGAGGCGACCACAACCGGCGCGCGCATTCTATGAGGAATCCACACTCCGCCGCCACCCGAAGCCCCACCCCCCAATGCCAGTCCCCCCTATGCCATCCCCCCCTAGGCCAGTCCCCCCTTACACCTTAGGCGATGCTTAAGAAAACCTAAGTTTTCGGCCAGAGCCTCGATTATTCTTAGCGTTTCCATGTAAATATTCAGGTTTTAATGGAAACATTGGGTTGTTATTCAAGTTCTGAGACTATGAATTTCTTAACCCATGATTTCTTAAGCATTTCGCAGGGTGTATCGTTGCCCCTCAGCGGCGTGCCGCCGAGTCGTGTGAGCATTCGTGCGGCGGCCCGGCTGCGTCTCCCTCTCCCCCTGCAGCGATCGCGCCCAGGCGCAGCTCTTGCGCGCGCGCGGTGCCGCGTGCCGTGGCTCGCGCCCAGCCCCACAGAGCTGCATTTCAGTTGGGCCTGCCCCTCTACAGGAGGAACATTCAGAAATAGTCAAAGAATCGAATGGGGACAACTTATTGATTATTGTTGGGCACTTTTTGCGTTTATGTGGGGGGCGTATCTTTAATTTTTCGCCCAAGCTGCCCTTGTAGGGCTGCACGCCCGACCTAAGACTTGATCGACCTCGGGACGGGACTTGGCAGTGGGTCGGGGTTTGACCCTGGCATTTTCATCATGGGTGAAGTTTGGTTTGTCCCGGTCTGAGAGTACGAGTTATATAAGATTAATCGTGTTCCAGGATGGAATCGAGTCTCGTCCTGCCACAGCAGCGACTCGTCGCTGGGAGTCGAAGGGCAGATGGCGAGGATCATCATCACTGATCGCGATTATGATCGCGATCCATCCCCATAAACATGATCACGGTGGTCATATCAATATCGCTGCGCTAACCATTATGACCATCATCCGGATCATCACCATCAGTATGATCAATCTGGCGGTCGCCAACAATGTCATTATGGTCGTGATGAAGATGGTCATGGCGGCCACCTCCAATCAACCCAGCATGGCAAAAAAGCCGAACGCGCAAGAGCGTCGCCCTGTCCCATCTGCTCCGCGAGATGCCATCTGAAGTTTCAAGGAACTTACATTCCCACCGCAGGCAGTGCCACTTACGGTTGGACCAAGGTAAAAAATAAATTGAGGTCGGTTCGTGGAGGATGCACTCATGGTCTTTGTGCTTGCTGGATGTTCTTGCGCACCCTGGGGGAGGGTGCCCTTGGATGTTCTGAGTGTGTTGGCCGGCGCAGGGTCTCATGTTCTTCGGCCGGATGGTGATGGGGGGATCAGGACATGGGGGGATGAGTATCCGGTACCGTTTTGTCGTGGTACAATTTGTACCTTCTCTGCGGGTTGCAAGTACAAATTGTACCTTCTCCCCCCCGTTAACATCCTCGCACATGTCGCGGACGTTGTCAAAAGTACAATTTGTACCTTGTCTGCGTGGCGTCGGTACAAATTGTACCTTCTCCGTGGGGCGCAGGTACAATTTGTACCTCGGTTGCGCCTCTCTCCCCATCTGGACTTATCCCCCCATTTGCATCCCGCCAAGTTCTTGAGGGATGTTATCATGCCATCGGTCCGACCGTACACGCAGCTCTGAAGGACGGTGACAGGCGTCCACTACGTAGCCCAGGCCGATGGCTATCTGACGCTGCCGCCGAAGCGCTCCCCAGGTTGCTCGCTCGCTCGCCCGCTCGCTCGTCCTCGTCCGTCTCTCGAGTGCACTGGCGTGCGCTAGCGCCTGTTGGTCGATGGGAGCGCGCCGATCTAGCGTCGACTGGCGCCGTCGACTTAGCATCGACCGGCGTCGGCGAGCGTCGAGTCGCAGGGTCCCACAGGATGGCACGGCAGGCTCCCCTGGGCTGCCGCAGGAGACGGGGCCCCTGAGGACGGGCGGCCCCAACACAGGGGAGGTTGGGCATGGGATGCATTTCTTATCTTTTCGGCGGCGAGCCCAGGGGGGAAGTGAGTAGGGGCGGGCCTTCTCAGAAGTCTGCTTGACCCAAAAGGGGTTCCAGCGAAAAGGGGGTGGTGCCATAGATTTGGTGCAATAGGTTTGTGGGGTTGCAATAGATTTGGGGCGTGTGATGCATTATGGTGGGTTGCGGGATTTCCACGTTCAATACGTTAGTTGCAATAGAATGCAATACAATTCTCCTGCGCAATACATTTGCAATGCAATTGCCACAAATCTAGTGCACCACCCTCTTTCAACTGGACCCCCTTTTGGGTCGACCAGAAGAACGCTCGGAAGTCCCCCGGCCTTCCGTGAAGTTTGCTGAGCCTTCCCCGCAGACACCGAACACTTATCATAAGGCCAGAGCGCCTCTGGGAAGTCCCGCCGCCTTTGAGCAGGCCTTCTCCTTCTCCTTTCCCCCCTCCCTCGCCGCCGATCTCTAGGGCTCTATCCCTCAGCGCCCCATCTTTGAACCGCCGCCACGGTGAGCCTTCGGGGAGCCGCGGCGACCGCACGGTTCTGGCACGTGGCTGAGCGTGATGCGAGGGCGTCTCGGGCGGCTGGGGCCTCCAGGGGCCCCAAGCCGTGCGGCCCCTGAGATCCGACGCAGTGGAAAAGTTGCAGCATCGCGAGGATCACGACCCCAGAGCCCCAGACACCGTTTTGGGCCCTGGGGCCCGACATTGGGCGAGAACGCCCGGCTCGGAAGAAATGGTCCACCCGCACAGTATAGTCAACCCGCATAGTACAGTCAACCGTGCTGTGAGGATTGAGCAACTTTCCGAGGTAGCTCTTGCATCCTTCCCCTCCAGCCCATCCCTGGCCGCTTTCGCTGGCCGCCATCCCGCCCGCAAAGTGTCGACATGGCCTTCCGGGGCCCTTGCATCATTTTCGTGCGTCCTTACTCTACGGGTTGACCGTATCTATTCCTCCTCCTCCTGCTCCTCCTCCTCCATCCTCTCCACCACCTCCTCCTCCTCCTCCATCTCCTCCCTCCTCTTCCTCCTCCTCTCTCCTCCTCCTCCTCCTCCCTCCTCCTCCTCCTCCTCTCCTCTCTCCTCCTCACTCCTCCATCTCCTCCTCCATCTCCTCCTCCTCCTCCTCCTCCTCCTCCTCCTCCTCCTCCTCCTCCTCCTCCTCCTCCCTTTCGTACTGTGCTGTGGAAGGCCGGGGGCGGGCGGGCCAGGCCATTCCTTGTGGCCCCGCACGCGCGCGGGCGGCTGCTGGACGAGAAGGCCCCCCGCGCGCGGGGCCCCTCCGCAGGGGGGCGGCGGTGCGCAGCGGCCGCCCTCCGCCGAGAGGCCGCCCGTGTGGCTCGACCACCCGCGAGGGGCGAGGTTCGCTCGAGCGGTGGACGCTCGAGGCGTTCGGGTTCGACGTTCGAGGTTTTTCGGGGCGCTTTGTGGCGGTGCTCGTCGGTTTGCTAGTCTCGGGGGCCTTCGGGTTCGACGTCCGAGGTGCTCGGGCGCTCTTGGCGGTTCTCGTCGGTTTTCTAGCCTTGGGGTGCCCTTCCGCGGCTGCGCCTTGCCGAGAGCGTTCCGGGGATGCCCGGATGTTCCCGAACGGCCGCCAGAGAGCCGAGTTACGGCCGCAAAACAGAGGGGCATTGTTACGGGATGGGCTCAGGCGGGGACGCATCGACTCCCAATCGCCCGTTGATCGCCGATGGGGGCCTGATGGCCCTCTCCGCCCAGGATCGTGCGGATTTCCTATCCAGGGCATATCGGCGATGTATCGCCGACTCCAGGCCGAGGTTCCCCCCTCTGAGCCTGTCCCCCCCGCTCGTCGCCCGTCACACCAGCGAGAGGCTTGAGGGAGGACGAGGAGGAGGAGGAGGACGAGGAGGAGGAGGAGGAGGAGGAGGAGGAGGAGGAGGAGGAGGAGGAGGGAGGAGGGGGAGGAGGAAAAGGAGGAGGAGGAGGAGGAGGAGGAGGAGGAGGGAGATAGAGGAGGAGGAGGAGGAGGAGGAGGAGGAGGAGGAGGAGGAGGAGGAGGTGGAGGTGGAGGAGGAGGAGGAGGACGGGCTTCCTTCCCCTCCTCCTTCCTTTCCCCCTCCCTCTCCCCCCGCATGTCGGGGGGGAACCCCAGCTCAAGCCCCAACAACAGGCCTATCCCTACCGAGAGTTCTGATGTTCCAACCTACTTTAGCCTGAATCGCCGGTAAGAATTTCGAGCACCAAGAAAGCACCGAAACTGGAGGGTGTTCACGTGTCGGGCTCTGGGAGGCGATACTCGTTCGACATTATTTCGATATGTTTCGGTGTGCTCGAAATCATTTTGGGGACTTGGTCCTTAAGTACGATGGGAACAACATGAACCGAGGGGATGCTGGCGCTCGCCGAACGCATCAAATCGAGAGAGCAGGCGGCTCGCTCCTCCTGCTAAGTCTGTACGTTACGTTGCTGCCTCGGGCCCCTCGAGGAAAGTCCTTCTCTCTCATCCCTCTTCCCGACACAACACCTGTTTCTGTCATTTCAAGGTGTTGTACAGTTTATGATGACGGTCTGTCGACGCCGTCTCGGACATTGAAGGCGGTTTCGAAGTCCGACGAAGGAATCGTGGACTGCGATTGGGGGGGAGGAACGAGTGTCACAAGCCGTTCTTTTCCCGGTCCCGTTTGTCACTCCTTCTTTTTGCATGCCGATTGCTGTTCCCTATTCGCCCTGCGTGGGACAAACGGGCTGCGGTGGTTTGGCGACCCGTTTGGATACGCATTTCGATGTATTGCCCCGTATGCGTTGTAGCGGTGGTTCCCTGTGTCTCGATCCGCTTCCTCTCCGCTCCTCGCTCTCCGGGTGCTCCGCGGCTCGCTCCCAACTTCTGGCTCCTCGCCGCCCTCCTCCTACCCCAGCCCATTTGCCTCCTGGTCGCGTTCCCGTTCCCCGTCCTCCCCTACAGGGCTCGATCCGATGCCTCCGATTCGATCCGATTCAAGTTCGATGGCTTCCGATTCCTATTTGATTCGGCTTCGGATGCCGATTGGGGCTCCGAGTCCTCAATGGAGGCCTGCTAGCCTGCCGATTTCCGCCGATCCGTTTTTTCCCGGCTCGGCTGCCGATCTCCTCCGATCCGAGTTATTTCGACTGCCGATCCGGTTTCTCGATTCGATGATGGGCCCTCCTGTCTTCGGATGCAACTCCTGAGAGGTCAAATTCTGATTTTGCCTTGGTCCGAAGTCCGGCTTAATCCCGCTTAATCCCGCTCATTCCGGCTGAATCCCGCCTACTCCCGCTTAATCCGGCTTAATCCGAGGCCCACTCCTGCGCAACAGCCCCCCAATGGGGCTTGAATTCTTCCGACGAAAACCTCCCAGTAGTTTTATGGTGTTCCAACCTATTTTAGCCTGGACCACCAAAAAGAATTTCGTGCACCAGGAAAGAGCCGAAACGTCAGGGTCTTCACGTGTCGGGCCCTGGGCGGCGACACTCGTTCGACGCCGTCTCCATACTTTTCTGGGTGCTCGAAACTATTTCTGGGATGTGGTCCTCAAGTACGGTGGGAGCAACATCACTGCAGTTGCCTCCGGATCCTGCCCCTCTGTTCGAGAGCTCCGCCGAGGGCGGGAGGCCCCCAGAGCTCGTGGAGGCGCAGGAGCGGGCCGATGGGCCCGCAGGGCCCGAGGAGAGCTCGCCCCGGGGCCTCTCGCGACGGAGTCGGGGGACCTCTGTCTGAGCCCCCGGTGACCCAAGGCCTCCCTCCCTCCTCCCCTCCTCCTCCTCCTCCTCCCTCCTCCCCCTCCTCCTCCTCTCCTCCCTCCTCCTCCTCTCCTCCCTCCTCTCCTCCTCCTCCCCCTCCTCCTCCTCCTCCTCCCCTCCTCCTCCTCCTCCTAGATCCTCGTTGTTTTTGTTGTTGTCGTTGTTGTTGGTTTGCTGTTGCTGTTGCTGTTGCTGTTGTTGTTGCTGTTGTGTTGTTGTTGTGTTGTTGTTGTTGTTGTTGTTGTTGTTGTTGTTGTGGTTGTGGTTGTTGTTGTTGCTGTTGTTGTTGTTGTTCTCTCTCTCTCTCTCTCGCGGTCTCTCCTCCTCCTCCTCCTCCTTCCCCTCCTCCTCTTCCTCCTCTCCCCATCTCCTCCCCCTCCTCCTCCTCCTCCTCCTAAATCCTCGTTGTCTGTTCTGTTGCTGTTGTTCTCTCTCTCTCTCTCTCGCGGTCTCTCTGTCTCTCCCACTCCTCGTCCTTCTGCGGCTCCCCCGCCTCCTCCTCCGCCGTCCTGCCCGCGGAGGTCGGCTTCCTGTGCCGGCGGGACCTCTGCCAGTGGGACGCGCAGCGCGTCGGGGCTCCCGAGCGCTCCTGGTGCGCAGCCCCTCCCCCCTCGCAGGAGAGAGTCTGGCACGCGCCCACCATACAGTGCCGTGTTTCATGCACGCTCCGCGTGCGGACCATGTCTTAGAAATGCAGGGACGAAGTATCAAAAACACAACGATGAGTTCATGCATACATCTATTCATACATTCATAATAGATTCAAAATCCGGTGTCTTTCAACATCCCATGTATAGAAAAAACTGCCCTGTATGGGTGTGTGTGTGTGTGTGTTCAGATGCGCGTTGGGGCCAAGGGCTCAAAACCTCAATTCGAGTCCCCATCTTGGAGCACCCTGAGGGCCCTCTGAGGGCCGTCTTGGGTGGTTCTTTTGGGCAGTCATGGGGCCCACTTGGGGCATCTCGGGGCCCTCTTAGGTGGCCTCCAGGGCCGCTTCGGGGTGATCTGGGAGGCCTCTAGGGCGGTCTTGGACGCCGTGCAGGCCAACACGTTGCAGATGCTGAAAATGCAATTTGTCCGGAGGGAATGGGATGATGTTTGCCTCTTGGAGCTCTGTTGGGAGGCCTTTTGGAGGTCTCTTGGGGCGTCTTGGAGGCCTCTTGGGCCGTCCGGGAGCCATCTTGAGCGTCTTGGACCGATCGCTCGGCGACTCGGGGCCCTCTTGGAAAGTCAGACAGGGCTCTTGGAACCCTGTTGGCCCACCTTGGGGCCATCTTGGGGCACTCTGGGCTTGTCTGGGGCTCTCAAGAGGCGCTCGCGACATACAGTCAACGTGCCTAGTAAGGACGCGCGCCTTCATCTAGGGTTACCTTGTGTCCTTGCCTCTGCGGCCCGTCCTTGCCATTGTCGCTGGTCGCCCGCCTCCCTAAAAAACCCAACTTCGGCCTCCAAGCGTCTTGCGTCCTTAGCACCCGTCCTTAATATACGTTTTGACTGTCGCCCGGCCGGTGCGCCCGAGATCAAGGTAGGCATTGATTTAATACATGTAGAGACCCAATGTACCACTCGACATATATATATATATATGTATATATAGAGAGATGTACTGCGTGCGTATATCCACACACATACATGCATGCATGCGTGCATACATGCATGCTGGCATGTATGTAGGTATGTTCGTATGTGTGTAGGTATGTGTCTGTGTATATGAAGGTGTGTGTATGTATGTGGATGTGTGTATGTGTATGCATGCATGCATGTATGTATGTCTGTTCGTGTGTATGTCTGTATGACTGTACGTATGTATGGATACATGTATGCATGCATGTATGTGTGTATGTCTGTATGCGTGTATGTATAGATGTGTGTATGTGTGTTCGTGCGTGTATGTATGTATGTATGTATGTATGTATGTATGCAGGTATGAACATGTGTGTGCATGCATGCATATGTGTATGTGTGTATGTATGTTTGTAAGGTACGCTATGCATGTAACGTATTGTATGTGCGCATGCATGTATGTATGTATGTGTATATGACGGTTTGTGTGTATGGATGCATGTATATACATATGTATGTATGTATGCGTGGCTGTATGCATTTATGTATGCATGTATGTATGTATGGATTCGGATGCGCACGCACGCGTGTATGCATGTATGTTTGCATGCATGTGCGCACATGTGTTTGTGTATATGTATATGTATGAATGTGTGCATTAGCGTATACATGTACGGAAGGTGGCACGTCGGTTGTGTTGGTGTATGTACGTATGTATGTGCGCATGCATGCATACATGCACGTGTGTATATGTAGGTATGTGCGTATGCATGTGCGTGCATATAGGTGTAAGTATGTGTGTATGTATGTCTGTCTGGATGCATGTTTGTTTGTTCGAATGTATGTATGTATGCATGTATGGATGCATGTATGTGCGTATGTATGTATATATGTATGTATGTGTGTATGTGTGTATGTGTGTATGTATGTATGTATGTATGTATGTATGTGTGTGTATGTATGTGTGTGTATGTATGTATGTATGTATGTATGTATGTATGTATGTTTGTATGTATGTGTGCATGTATGCCTGCATATAAGAATGCTGTATGTATGCATGCACTCATGCATACATGTGGATGCACCTATGTATGCATGTATGCATGCATGTATGTATGCATCAATGCATATAAGTGTGTATGTAGGTGCTCCTGCTCCTCCCTCGGGTGTCTCCCCCATCCTCCTCCTCCTCCTCCTCCGCCGCCTCAGGTCTCGAGTTGAACTGCGATCTGGTGGTTTCATTGGCCGTTTTCGCTCTGGTTCAGATTTGCAGCAAAGGGGGAACGAAGACAGAACAAAGGGAACACCACAACAACATGAAAACAGAAAACACTGTTCAGCTCGAGCCCTCCTCCTCCCTCCTCCCTCCTTTCTCCCATCTTCCTCCTAGCTCGGAGGAAGGCGGGAGGGAGGAGGAAGAGGAGGAGGAGGAGGAGGAGGAGGAGGAGGAGGAGGAAGACGAGGTTGGCGTGTGAGGCTGCGGGGATCAGAGACATCCCCGCCAGCGTCTAGGTGCATTATAGCAGAGGGGTAAGGGGGCAAAGCGAGAGGAAATGGAGGGGGAGGGCGGGGACGGTGACGAGGGGGAGGGGGAGCGGGAGGAGGGGGGGGGGGGGCAGGCATGCGGAGGAGCAGCAGGAGGGATCAGGAGGCCGAAGGGGGCGCCGCAGGGGTAGCACGGAGCCGACGAGGACGGCAGACGTCGCCACTTCAGCATGTGACCCATGTCACCGAGAACAAGAGAACCCCTAAGCCGAATGACACGGTGAAGGCGTGGCCTCACTGAGGTCCCCGTCTTTGCATCAGGAGTGAAAGAAATGTACGGGTTGTTTTGGTGCATCTGCAGAAAGACCTCCGAGCCTAACATAGGTCCGCGTTCCTGCATCTGCGTTTCTGGCCCTCCTAGCATAGGTCCGCTCCCAAAGGCTTAGGGGTCCTTCTTTTCGTCACTCCCCATGGGGCGCAGCAGCGGCCGAGGCGAGGAACAGCACGGGCCCGATGGCAGGACCACCCGTGTACAGTCGGGGCGCTGAAGAAGGAACCCTTTTCGTTGGGGAGGGGCTCGGTGTCCCTTGATTGTTTCACAGCTCGCATCAGGTTTTCTTTGTGTTTTCGATGGGAAATCGAAGTTTAATTTATGGGAAAAAGGGACATCGTTCCTTATTTTGGGCTCCTTAGGCCAAGGCCCCGACGGCATTGAAAGTCGACCATCGCGGCGGGGGGGCCTCTGATCTGGAGGTGGTTGGGGGCCTGGGGTGGCCCGGCACGGGTCCTGGCCACCGGGAAGGAGGGGGAGGAGGAGGAGGAGGAGGAGGAGGAGGAGGAGGAGGAGGAGGAGGAGGAGGAGGAGGAGGAGGAGGAGGCGAGGTTCGAGGTCTCCGGGCTCGCGGCGGGCTGCTGCCTTCTGCGGCCTCCGAGGGCCGCTCTCGGGCGGGGCCGCCAGAAACGGATCCGGGACGAAGCACTGCACAAGATTTCCAACGGATTTGCACTGAGGGGTCCTGGGGTCAGAAGATCAACGGATTTGCCGTCATCCCCCCCTCACTCTTTCACCGATCCTCTGGAGCCTAACCAGCGCAGACCCCCAGGCCGCTTCCTAAATCAGACGCAGTCCCGGGGTCAGATTTTCAACGGATTTGCCGTCATCCCCCCCTCGTTCTTTCACCGATCCTCTGGAGCCGAACCAGCGCAGACCCCCAGGCCGCTTCCTAAATCAGATGCAGTGAAGGTGTCGGGCGGGGCATCGCGTCGCACAGGATCCACGAGGCACACTGGGGCGGCACCGCCCGATTGCTTCGAGGGGGAGTTCAGGCCCTGCCCCCCCGCCGACATTTTCCTCTTGCGCGCCTGCTGAATTGCCTCCAGCCTCCTCCTCCTCCTCCATCTCCTCCTCCATCTCCTCCTCCATCTCCTCCTCCATCTCCTCCTCCTCCTCCTCCTCCTCCTCCTCCTCCTCCTCCTCCTCCTCCTCCTTCTCCGCGTGCGTCGGCTGAGATGCTGTGCGCTCCAGCCGATGCTGGAGGACGCGTTTGTTCCATTCCAGCCCGAGCGTTAAGTCGGGCCTGTCCCTCTACAGGGGGAATATTCCAAAATGGTTATATATATATATATATATATATATATATATATTTTCTTCGAATATTCTTATAGCGGAAAACCCCCCCTGACCCCCCCCCCCCCCCGTACATAAATTCGGCCCTGGGCGCTCCCACCGACGTGAAAATCGAATTTCGGCTTCGGGAGCCTCTCCCGGCTATCCCCGGACGGTCCCGCAAAGCCCGAGGACGGCCCACGACCGCTCCAGAACGGCCCATGAGCGCTCAAAAAGATTTCAGGTTGGCTTCAACACGGCCCAAGACGCTCCCAAAACGCCCCAAGAGGCCCCCAAGGAGACCCCCAAAACGCAAAAATCGTCCCATTCCCTTCGGGAGACTTACAATTTTACCATATTCGCTTCTGTGGCCTTCACTGCGTCCAAGACGGCCCCAGAGGCCCCCAAGATCGCCCTAGGACGACCCAAGATACCCCCAAGAGGACCCCAAGACAGCCCAAAAGGGCTCCAAGACGGCCCAAGAGAGCTCCAAGACAGCCCCAAAAGCCCCAAAAGGCGTCCAAGAGAGCCCCAAGAAGGCCCCAAGAGGCGCCCAAGAATGTCCCAAAATGGCCGAATCCCCCCAGGACGGCCCAAGAGGATCCCGGGACAATTCCGGAGAGCCGCCAGACAGCCCAACAGAGTCCCAAAAGGAGCCCCACGAAGGCCCCGACATGCCATATTATTTGATTTCCGCTAACATGCTCCGCACTGTTTTTGTCTCCAACGCCGCCACCCCGGGGGACCTCGGGACAACCCCGGAGAGCCGCCAGACAGCCCAAAAGAGCCCCATAAGGAGCCCCACGAAGGCCCCGACATGCCATATTCATTGCTTTCCGCTACCATGCTCCGCATGTTTTTTTCTTCCAACGCCGCCACCCAGGGGGACATCTACGTCGCCGATGTTTTGGCTTCGGTCCAGGAGCCGACACTTTCTCCGATCGCACGCTGCCCCGTACATAGGCTCCTGCCCTCTGCCCCCTCAGAGCCCTTCCAGCTTGAAGACTCTATGAGCCATATAAGCCCCAATAGCCATATGAGCTCAATGAGCTCTACGGCCCCTCGTCCTCGTCTTCATTGTCGCCGTCGTCGTCTTCGTCGCCGCCGTTGTCGTCCCCCATGAGACCTACAGGCCTATCAACCCCTTCAGCCTTATGAGCCCTACGAGCCCTATGACACTCAAGACCCCATATGAGCCCCGACATCCCTATGACCCACGGGACCCCTGCGACCTCTCTTTCGCCTACGAGCCCTACGAGGCCTGCAGTGCCCTATGTGTTCTGCGAGCCCTATGAGTCCTGCGAGCCCTAATGCCTACAAGCCTCGTGAACCCTACCAGCCCTACGACCTCAATTACCCTATGACCCCTACCAGCCACATGAGCCCTGTCGACCTCATGAGCCCTACGACCCCTGTGGCGGCTCATGCCCCTGCGACCCCCATCCGCCCTATGAGATCTACGAGCCCCGCGGTGCCCTATATCCCCTCCGAGCTCCATGAGCCCTCCATTGCCCTGTACGCCCTACGAGCCCTACGACCCCAATTTCCCCTACAGCCCCTACCAACCATATGAGCCCTCTCAGCCCTGAGAACCCGAACACCTACAAGCCCCACGAACCCCGTCAGCCCCACGAGACCCACGGGCCCACAAGCCCCACGAGCCCTGCGAGCATACGAGCCCTACGAGCCTCACGGGCATACGAGCTCACGAGCCCTACAAGCCTACAAGCCGACGAGCCTTACGGGCCTACGGGCCCTACGAGCCCTACGGGCCTACGGGCCCTGCGAGCCCTACGAGCCCCACAAGCCCTACGAGCGTACAAGCCCCACGAGCCCTACGAGCCCTACGGGCCTACGAGCCCAGAGAGCCCACGAGCCCTGGGCGCCCTACAAACCCATCATCCCGGTGAGCGCTGCGAGCCCGACGAGTCATCCGAGCTCAAAGGCCGCGCGAGCCCCGCGAGGCCGAAGAGCCCCACGAGGTCACGAGCCCTACGAGCCCTACGCTCCCCATGCGCCCATGACCCCTACACGCCCCTTAGGCGTCCGACCCCTATTCCCCAACCAACCCAGCGAGTCCCACAAGCCCATTGACCCCTGGAACCCCGTAGGCCCCACGCGCATGGCGAAACCAGTGAGCCCCATGACCCCATCTGAACCACACAAACTACGCGCACCGTGAGCCCTTTGTGCCCACGAACGCTTGCGCCCCACCCACGCCCCACGAGTCGATCGCGAGCCCTCCGACCTCATGGGCCCTGTGAGCCCCATGAGCCCTACGAGCCCTACGGGCCCCACGAACTCACGCTCCATGAGCCCCATGACGTCCGTGAGCCGCGGCCACCGAGCAACCACTATGACCCTTCAAGCCCCGCGAGCCCCACGAGCCCCCATGAGGCCCACGACACATAGCAGGCCAAACAAGCCCCACAGTTGGTCGCAGCGAGCTTTCCAGGCGCCATGCGACCAAGATTGTAAAGGCGAAGCGAAGCGAGCCGGTAAAATCTTGTGTATATATATATATATATATAACCTGGGGGCTATTTTTTGACCATGTTTGAGCATTTGGGGCGCACTGTTTGGGGTATTTTTCGAAATTTGTCGTCCAACATCCTCCCTGTAGGAGGACAGGCCCGGCGTCGCCCGAGAGCGCACTGCGGCGAGCGCCCCCGTGAGGCCCGCGGGGCGGCCGGGGGGGGGGGGGGGGGCGGGGGCTGCCACGGGCGCCCCTGGCCCGAGCGGCCCCCCAGCTTCTTCGCTCGACCTCTGGCAGGGCCCTTCGCTAAACTCGGGAGCGAAAGAAGGGCGTACACGTACGGTAGGTCTGCGTCGTGTCGACCAGCGGCGACCCCAGCGCGGACGTTCAAGGTTGAACGCCGCCGGCGACCCAGAATCGATCGATGTTGAACGATCGGACGTTGCGGCAGCGGCCGATCGTTCAAGGTTGAACGATCCCTGCGGTGTCAAAAACCAACGTCGGGGTCGACACGACACGGACCTGCCGTACATGAATCCACGCTGGTTTCGAGAGTACGCATGGCCCGAAAGTTCGTATCGCGCGGCCGGTCTCGCAGATCGAGGGGCCGTGTTCATGTACATGGCTGGGCGCGTACGTCCTTTTTGTGGGCTCCCTATAAACGGCTCCTTCGCTCGACTTCTGGCAGGGCCCGAGCTACACGGTGTCTCGGTGCTCGTTTTGGGGGCCTTCCTGGGGGCCACCCAAGGGATCTCTTCGACGCAGGTTCGACGCAGGTTCGACTCAGGTTCGGCGCAGCTTCGACTCAGGTTCGACGCAGGTTCGACTCCTGTTCGACGCAGGTTCGACGCAGCTTCGACGCACGAGTGGGGCGAGTGGCTGCAGGAAGGTCCCCAGAATGAGCATCTAACGGTGTTCTGGCACTTTCGTGGGCCGTTTGCGTTTTGGCTTCGTTTTGCAGCAAGCGTGGAACGGCAGAACTAGGGATGACGAGAGCAACAACGAAAACGGAAAACACTGTTTAACTCGAGCCCTGGGTTTTGGAGCCTTTTGGGGTCCTCTGGGCCCGGGGTAGTCTTACGTCGAGCCTGTCCCCCTACAGGGAGATTTTCGACGAAAAACAAAACATACTCCAAACATGCCCCCCAGATGGTCAAAACATGCCCGAAAAATAGTCCCTTGACTATTTGCCGGGCATTTTGGAATATTTTTTAGGGTCCTCTGGGCCCGGGGTAGTCTCACGTCGGGCCTGTTTCTCGGGGGTGGGCAGGACCTCCAACAGTGACACGTCGATTGGTGGATTGTCCGTTTTCGGTTCTCGAGAGGGCGCCGCAGCCGTTATTTTCCAGGCTTGCGCCCGCCAGGTTTGGGCCGCAGGTCGTTTTCACAAAGTCACGGTTTACTAAAGGGAGGTCTGTCCATCCCCGATGTCCCCCTACAGGGGAATTTTCGACGAAACATAAAAATATATCCCAAAAAGGCCCCAAAATGGTCAAACCAAATACTAGAAAAATTGTCCCCTGACTATTTGTCGAGCATTTTGGCATATTTTGTTGGGGTCCTCTGGGCCTGGGGTAGCTTAGCTGCCTCGATACGCCCGTTTTGATACGCATCACGTCCCGTGTTCAAGACGTCCGTGTCAATGCGTTGCGTGCTGGCTCCACGTATTGGACCACGTTTTGGCGAATGTATCGCGTCGGACCTACGTTTTCAGCCTGCGTGTTGAGCTCCGTATCCATACGCTACGTGTTGCGTGTTGCGTATCGGGGCAGCTATAAGTGGGGCAGCCGTTATATGGACGATCCCGTGTCTTTTTGTGTGCCCCCCTCAGAGGGGGAAAGACACGAGCACACGGGGAACAGCCCGACCTCGGAGCCCTTCTGGGCTTCGTGAGGGGTACTCGCGAGACCTTCTGGGTGCCTCCCTGTGGAAAAATCCTGGGAGCGCCTGGCGCCGCCGGGGATATGCTCTGCTTGCCAACGCCAGGCGGAGAGGCCAGGGGCCCGAAGACGATCTCGCGCTCCTCGCGCCTCGGCCTGGGCTGCAGAGGCACGCTTCTCCAAGGCGGCGGCGCGAGGGCGCGAGGATGGGTCCTGGCTCCTCCTCCTCCTCCTCCTCCTGCTCCTCTCTCTCCTCCTCCCTCCTCCTCCTCCTCCTCTTCTCATCCTCCTCCTCCTCCTCCTCCTCCTCCTCCTCCTCCTCCTCCTCCTCCTCCGGGCGCGAGGATGCGGCGCGACGTTGGGCGACCCAGGACCCACGGGCCGCGAGCCGGGCCGCGCAGCCGAGCAGCCGAGCGCCGAGGGCGTCTCGTGCGAGTGGGCCCTCCGAGGCTCCCGCTCCGTGCAGCGACGGGCCCTCTCGGTGAGGTCCTCGGGGAGTCCGCGGTTCCCGCGCGGTAGGGTCCTTGCGCTCGCGGGCTGGAGGGGGATCATGGACCGCGCGGCCGAGGCGAGAGCACCGCGCTGCTCAGGAGGGAAGAGGGCACACGGACACAAAGGATCGTCGATGATCCTGGGGCTTTGTGTGCACTTACTCCAAATCCCTTATTAATCGACCCCCCCTAAAAAACCAGACCCCCCTCCAAATGCGACCTAATATTCCGGACCCCCTCTTCGAGGGGGCGCCTTAGTAAGCCAGACCCCCTCAGCTCCAATCCGAAGAAAGCGACCTAATAAAACGGACCCCCTTAATGACCAAAAAGGCGCCTTAAAAAACCGGACCCGGGGGACGATTAATAAGGGATTTGGAATATTCGCGTGTCCCCGGGCCCCTTCCCTCTGCCCCCCCCCTCCCTCGCCGCCAGGCCCAGCCGCGGCGCCGCTGTGCCGGCGGCGGAGCTGTACGACCGCCGGCGCGAGGCCTGCTTTTTGGCGGGCCGTGGCCGCGGCCGCTGCCGCCGTGCCGCCCGGGCTCCTCCGCCGAAGGGGCGGCGCCGTGCCCGCCCTTCCGCCGCTTCCTCCTAAATGGGGTCGGAGCAGATGGGGGTCGGAGGATCGCTCCGCATCGCCGATGCATCGGCGATGCGGCTCGATGCGGAGCCCGATTTTCTCCACGCCGACGTCGCCGATGCATCGGCGATACGGCGTGATCCTCCGACCCACTCGGACCCCATTTAGGAGGCCTCTGACTTAGTGCCCGCCTTTCCGTCGCCACGAACCAAAGTGGGTCCTGCAGGGAAGCGGTTCTGCGCTTTCGCTGAGCAGCCTTTGGAGGGGGGGGCCTTCCCAGGGGAACTCCAGACCCTGTCGGAACATGGCTCAGGACGAAGAGCTCGTCCTGAGGAAAGGCCATGGGGGGTCAAGGGTCCGACTTGCTCAGGACCCGCTTGCTTCCAACCCCATGCCGCTGCGTGAGCAGACGTGTCCATCACCGTCGTGTTGTTTTTGTGGGCCCGGGGAGGCTCGGAAGGAGGGTCGACACATGCCCCTTCCGGCGGCCTGAGCTGGCTTGTCGAGGATGCGCAGAACGGCGAGGAGGAACGTGGGGCATGGGAGGAGAAGATTTCGAGGACAGAAGGGAGGAGGTGGTGGAGGAAGAGGAGGAGGCAGGGGATGAGGAGTTGTATGGGGAGGGAGAGGAGGAGGAGGAGGAGGAGGAGGAGGAGGAGGAGGAGGAGGAGGAGGAGGAGGAGGACCCGTGTAAACCCAAGACCCATCAACGATGTTGAAATAGACCCTCCCTCCAAGCTTCCTCTTCATACGCCCCTGTTCGGATTTGTCTTCACCGAGCGAAGTGCCTCGTTGGAAGGCAACCGTTTGAAAATGCTGAACCGTCATTGTTGCGTCCTGACCATCGGGAATCGTCCCAGAACGCCGTGCCTGGGACTTCAACACCGCGAATCAACGTGACCGCTGCGTTGTGACCTGACAGTCCTACACTGTGCCACAACACAGTTTCTGAAACGCCAACCATACGACTCCTTGAAACTGCTGTAAACTCTGAAGGCGAGTGTACGCGGCCCTCAGGCGAGAGTCACATGTTGAAAAAGAACCGCCCTCCATCCATAGCAGTCTCGCAAATTGTGAGACGAATGTGCGTGGCGCCACGGCGAGAGCCACGTCTTGAAAAGGAGCTGCCCTCCAACAGTGAAGCTCCTGCAAATGTTTGAGACGAGCGCGCGCGGGGCTAAGGCGATAGCCACATGTATTTCCCTGTGACGTACCCTGCCCATTGGCGTCAAAGGACATGTGGAGTTGGCCCAAACTTGCATGAGAATGACAGCGCTTGGACTGCAGCCGACAGCCGCCTCTTCCTCCCCCTCCTTCTCGCACAGGTCTGACGTGCTCCGAAACAGAGGTAGATGGGCAGGTCCGACGGACAACTTCGTCAACGGATGCGCATGGCACCCGGAGACAAAGGCTTGTCACGCCTCACAGAGAATAGATGGAAACATATGCAAATCCGAAGAACGGTTCGTCAAATCATGTTCTGGGCGTCCCGAGATAAAGCCCCAGCAATTCTCGAACGTGGCGACAGTTTCACAGGTCGCAGCCCCACAGGAATGGCGAGATCTAATATGAGTCTGCGTAGCACGTCACTCGGCTGGACCCCCCAGCAGCCCTTGAAAGTGGCGACAGTTTGGCACATCGCAAAGCCACAGGGATGGCGAGGTCGAATCGGAGTCTGCGTAATTCGCACGTCAATTCGCTGGATCCCCCAGCAGCCTTCGAAATTGGTGGCAGTTCGGCAGATCGCAACCCTTCAGGGATGGCGAGGTCGAATCTGAGTGCGCGTAGAACCGTCACTCCGCTGGACCCTCCAGCAGCCCCTTGAAAGTAGCGGCAGTTTGGCAGATCGCAGCCCCACAGGAATGGCGAGGTCGAATCTGAATTTGCGTAGCACGTCACTCGGCTGGACCCCCCAGCAGCCTTCGAAAGTGGCGCCAGTTTGGCAGATCGCAGCCCCACAGGGATGGCGAGGTCGAATCTGAGTCTGCGTAGCACGTCATTCGGCTGTTTGCCCTAGCAGCCTTTCGAAAGTTGCGGCAGTTCGGCAGATCGCAGCCTCACAGGGATGGCGAGGCCTAATCTTAATTTGCGTAGCACGTCACTCCGCTGGACCTCCCAGCAGCCTTCGAAACTGGCGACAGTTTCGCAGATCGCACCCCCTCCGCCGGAACCCTGGCAGCCTTCGAAATTGGCGACCGCTTCGCAGATCGCAGCCCCCCCAGGATGGCGAGGCATGAGGCAACCTGGCGCGCAGAAGCGAACGAGGTGAGAGGCAGGAGCGGGGAGGCAGGAGGCGGGGAGGAGGAGGGGGGAGGTGGAGACCGCAGCGCTCTCCTCAAGACGAGTGCCCGACGCGGGAGGCCGGGAGAAGACCTGCCCGCCCCCCCCCATCCGTTAAGTGCGAGCACGCGTTGACGCGGCTGTGCGCGGGGCGAAGGCGAGCGCCACCGTCAGAAAGCGACGCGCCCCCGATCCGAGAGGCGGAGCGGGCCCTGGCGCCGTGGGGCTGCGCCCGGTCAGCCCCCTCGCCCCTCCCTCCCCCCCGACCGCCTGGGGGGGGGGAGGGAGGAGAGGAGGGGCGGGCAGGTCGAGAGCGAGGGCGAGGAAGGGAGGAGGAGGAGGAGGAGGAGGAGGAGGAGGAGGAGGAGGAGGAGGAGTGAGGAGGAGGAGGAGGAGGAGGAGAGGAGGAGGAGGAGGAGGCGGAGGAGGAGGAGGAGGAGGAGGAGGAGGAGGGGAGGAGGAGGAGGAGGAGGAGGAGAGGAGGAGGAGGAGGAGGAGGAGGAGGAGGAGGAGGAGGAGGAGGAGGAGAGGAGGAGGAGGAGCAGGAGGGGAGGAGGAGGAGGAGGAGGAGGAGGAAGAGGAGGAAGAGGAGGAGGGGGAGGAGGAGGAAGAAGAAGAAGAGAGAGGAGGAGGAGGATGAAGAAGAAGAAGAGGAGGAGGAGGAGGAAGAGGAGGAGGAGGAGGAAGAGGAGGAAGAGGAGGAGGAGGAGGAGGAGGAGGAGGAGGAAGAAGAAAGAAGAGGAGAGGAGGAGGAGGAGGAGGAGGAGGAGTGGGAGGAGGAGGAGGAGGAGGAGGAGGAGGAGGAGGAGGAGGAGAAAGCGTCAGTTGCGAGCTCAGAAGGGTTTCGTGAGTCGTGCGGAGGTCTCCGGCGAAGATCGCGCCCGGCCCGCCCGACCGGCACGCGCTTCAGGGTGCGACCGGGAGGAGCTGCTCACACGGGCAAGGAAAGGTTCGGCACGAACGAAATGGGTACGGAGAGAATGGGCACAATGCCCAACAGCAGTTCCTGTTCATTTTGAACAGGACTCGCTGTCGGTGTCGCCGCGGCCTGGGTCCGTTGGACGCAGAAGGCCTCCTGCCCAACAGCGGCCGCTGATGGTTTGGGACAACATTTGTTGTTGGGCATTGTACCCATTCTTTCCGTGTCCATTTCGGGCGTCCAAAAAGGTGATCGTTCTTGTTGTTCGTTGTTTGCCGATCGGCGCGGGTTCCAAAACCCTCCCTTTCACCCCCCCCCATGGATAAGGGAACAAAAAGTGGCATAAACATAAAAACTCGGAGGTCCGCGCGGATTTCTCGGATCGGCGCTCCGCGCGGCAGGGAGGGGGGTCCAGCGCGGATCCGAGAAATCCGCGCGGACCTCAGAGTTTTTATGTTTATGACTTTTTTTCTCCTAAGGAAAGATGATCGTTCTTGCTGTTCGTTGTTTTGCCGATCGGCGCCGGCTCCAAAACCCTCCCTTTCCCCCCCCCCATGGAGTAGATCGTGGCTGCTTTGGGGGCGCCTGCTTCGAGCGGGTGGAGTCTCCCCCAGAGGCGGCACTCCTGCAGGCAGCCGCACGGAGCAGGTTGTCTGGAGCCATACCCCGCCCTCCTCCCCCATCTCCTCCGCCCAGGGCCGAGACGCCGCATGAAGAAGGGCACGTTCACACGGAGGAGGATCGGACCCCAGCGCGGCGCCATTTCGAGGAGCTCTCTGGCCGCGTGGCCGCGCACGAAGCTCCCGCGGGCGGCGGGGCAGAGCGCGCCGCCGCCGCGCTGCCGCCGCGCCCGCGACCGGCGGCGGCCTGCCCGAGTCGCGTGCTCCGGGGCCCGACTGCCGCCGGAGGCAGACCTCTGCGGCTCGGGGCCGCCCTGGGGACGCGGAGGGGGTGGCCGAAGCTGTCGACGGCTCGCACATGCCCACCCTTGGCATCGCTCGGACGTGTGCATTTTTCCTTCGGCGAGGGCCCTCGAGGAGCATCCTGGATCATTTGGCGAAAAAGCCACGCACGAGACCGAGCAAAAAATACAGGGAATGGACGTCCGAGCGATGGCGAGCACCAGCCAATCCAGAAGCGATCCTCGGGCGAGTTGCGTTGGTCAAAGCGGTGGTGCAGCGATCACGTCAGAGCCCCCTGAGCAGCCTCGTCACGTCCGTGAGTGGAGCTGCTGAGCCTGCCGCCGAAGAGGGGGGAGGGGGAGAAAGTGGGGAAGGAGGCTATGTGGATGAGGGAGGATGAGGAGGAAGGTGCGAGGTGGGAACATTCGGTCGCAAATCATGGGAGCCTGATTTACCTTCTTAATTCCGCCTTCTAGAGCGCACTAGCGTGCGCTAACGCTTGGTGATCGGCGAGAAAGCGCCGAAGTAGCTCCGATTGGCGCCAATTTAGCGTCGACTAGCTTCGGCTAGGGCCGATTAGCGGCGATTTCCAAGAACCAGCAATATGGCACGGGAGGCCCCCATGAGTTGCCACAGAAGGAGGAGGAAGAGGAGGAGGAGGAGGAGGAGGAGGAGGAGGAGGAGAAGTAGGAGAGACAGGAAAGGGGCGACGCCGACGACGATGACAACGACGCCGCCGCCGCCCACGACGACGACGCAATGGGCCTGGTCAGGTAGCATCGAGAGGGCCTTCGGGTCTTGCGTAAAAT